CCAAATAATATGTACAATTCGAGTATGACGTTTCACCGGGAATTCGTTTTCAAATCTCAATTGAATAGTACATAACTCTAGTAGATTCCTAATAAAATAAACTTTACATTCATCTCCCAGTTTTCTATAAACCTCAAATCTAAAACCAAGAATAGTTGTGAATAAAACTGCGAAAATAAAACAATAATGGGATACACAGCATTGCCCAACCTCAAGATTTACTGAAACTCTCATGGCCTGTGTCGCAGTCATGGAAATGAAACCAATTGCTATGGTTCATTAAAGCAACGCGAACGACATGGAAAGCCATTTCAAATGCTCCGTTTAAACACACACAACCTCAAATATTTTACAATGGTTGAATGCCAGTTCAGTGTTCTGACTGATCATGTGTTAAAAATCAGCAGACAGCAACCCCAAAATTACACCTGATCCTCAATTTTAGCGAGTTTGTCGTCTCAGCTTGGTAACAAATGACTGCACAAAAACAACATTACATTTGCACTTTTTCATACCCAATTTGGCCTTTCTCAGGTTTAAGAATGAATGTTTCCAATAGATAATGATCACTTACTCAACTGCAGAGTGAAACGTCATATTCCTGAGTCTGCAATACATTAGATGCTTGGTGAATGTGTGGTGACGGGTCGTTTTCAGCAGTGGAGTTTCAAACAGGAGATTGCCTTTGTCCTGTGCTTGCCGATAGTATAATTGGGATATACCGGAATTGGTGAAAACTTCGATTTAAAGCTTTCGTGACTGCAGGGATTCATCTTCTTGGTTCTTTCGGTAAAGTCACGTAGAATTGAAATATTTTTTTATTTCAATTCTACGTGACTTTACCGAAAGAACCAAGAAGATGGTGAAAACTTAATGAAATCACAAACATATGACTCGCCAACTACAGCGCTTTCCTACTCGAGATGTTAACTGCCTCGACTGGTATGTAGGAGGTCGTGGGTTCAATTACAATCCTGACGCATGTATATTTAGAATTTGCATGTTCTCCCCGTGTTCGCGTGGATTTTTTTCGGGTCCTCCAATTTTCCACTCCACATTTAGAAACATGTATTTAGAGTATTTAGCTGCTATAAATTTCCACATGATAAGCCATCTTCGCTGAGCTCTCTTTTGTGACCAGGTTGCTTCCAAAATAGAGCTATATAGCTCAGTGGCCCTTATCTTGTAACAAAACAATTGTTGATAGTTTTATAGTTTACTCTGCAAAGATCTACCCAATGGAAAACTTTACCAGAGTATGTAGCCCACCACAACAGGGGCACTTTAAAACTCCGTGCAGTATTTAAAAGTTGGACATGTTATTAGCATATAAGGCATATGATGGCACCAGCTGAGTGCTGAATTCCCGATCGGGTGATTGCCAACCTACAGCACTCAAAGCACAAACGGATGACGGCCCCCACTTCCTCCACGTCGTTCATGGCATCTTTTTCACCATACTTCACCAGGCTGGTCACTTTGGGTTTACTTTTTTTTTAACCAGGTAAGGCCCCACTGAGTTATATAGCTCTTTTTCATAACCTGGCCAAAAATGATAGCTCAACGAAGTAGCTTATCACGTTGTAAGTAATAACAGCAGCCAAATTCTCTGATGAAGGGGAGTGGGGAGGGCATGACTGCTTCCAATATCACTTGCCACTGATGTTAGCCGTGGCCAGGAATCGAACTAGAGTCACCGCGATCATCTACAGCGTGTTTATCCAATGAATAGTCTTAGAGTTCAAACATTTAGCTTAACTTTGTTAGGCTACAACAGTGGTTGTCTTATGATGGACTGGCTCACTAAAGCAAGGTGGAATTTCCGTGAATGGACAAGCCCAATGGCAGGGAACCTCACTGTCAATATATTGATCTTTGACTTTTGCACAATTTCCAATGTCATTTTTTTTTAAGAATAATTTTCTGTCATACCACACACAGGAACATTGTTCCAATTGCTTTCACACTTATTGTGCTCACTTCATTAAACAATAATTATATATAGATGAATATCTTTTCTTAACCTACATAAAATTAGCAGATGTGTGTAATATATAGATTTGCTAAACGGCATATACGGCATGTATTTTGACACACACTTATAATTTAAACTACTTAACAACAGGACATATACACTTTGCTAAAAAGTGCTGTATGTTTGTGGTCACAAGGAAATTGCATTTACAATAAAAAAGATCATCAGCCAATTTCTATTCACTGCTGGATAAAGCCCCTAACCCAAAGCTGTTGATATCTCTCACAGCGCCCTGATGCAACAATCAATGTAGCTGCCGCACAAGAGCTGAGTCCTCATGGTGCAACGAGCTGAGTCTTAAAGGTTTTTGGCGAGCCATCGAACACAAACACGGTCACTGCATCGCGCCTTTTTTCAGATGTGCTTCTGCAGCAGTCTGGAACGCTCTTGCTTCCGATATTAGGAAGAGACTGCAGCTATGCACTGTCAAATCTATATTGAAAACTCATTTGTTTAGAACTGCTTTTCTCGTGTTTAGTATATTGTCCTTCCCCCCGGACCTCTCAGCACGGTTGGCTACGTACGGTGTGAAAAAAGATCAACATACATACATACATACGAATACAGTTCCTGGCGGAGAGATCAGAATGAGGCATTTCGTCATCTTCAATCGGCGGCGCGCATGCAGGAGCGAGACCGATTGTTGTAATGCAGGATCATGGGAAATGGCGAAGGCTAGGGGGGGGCCTTCATCCGGCAGCAGATAGATAATGGCTGGTGATGATTTCCTGTTACTTGGTTTAGCAGGACGGAATTGATTTTTTTATCAATATTTTCACGTCTGGCACTAAAGAGGGAGGCAATGCTTTGAAAACCTGATTTTGTCTTCCCATAATTATCAATACCTAGAATGTCTCATAAAAGCAACAATCTAAAAAGATGTCAAATAAGGGACTGTGGGAGCATGGGAATATGTAGCATACCGTTTTATTGAATACCATGAATATACAAACAAATTTGCTTTCTCGTCAAGGTTGTTCATAAATAAGTCTCCATGCGGTGGCTTGAGAAAGGACACCAAATGATGTGACTAAGCTAATGTATTCCTAAGCTTTACATCGTTGGTCATCCACAAGAATTGAGCAGCATTTAGTTGCATTTCAATAGAGCTCCTTCCAACATTGTTCAAAAACAGGGAACTACTAAAAAATACTGTAAAATGCTGTGTTTCATTCAGACGCTGTCTCTCCGACAGACCTGGTCTTCACCTGAGGACGGCTGCTTGCGTTGTGGCCGAAACGTCGTGAGAATTATTTTATTGTGTTTTATTTTTATTATTTTATTATTTCCCTTCTACGTGACTTTACCGAAAGAACCAATAAGATGAATCCCTGCATTCACGAAAGCTTTAAACCGAAATATAAAATGCTGCTCAAATTTTATGTATATATTTTGCGGTTGGTTGCTGACATGGCAGACTATTCTGAGACTGGGACAATGTCTCAATCTAAATAAAAACCTTACTGAAAGAAATCGGATTGAAATAATCGAATATTTATTTTGAGAAAAATATATCTATTTTCCATGGAGAGGCCTTCACCAACACAAATAATTAGAATCAATATCACTTACAAAGGATATGACACAAATACGTGAAAATTACACGTAAATAATTAAAGGAAGTCTATGATTAATAAAAATCTATTCTCCAGTGGCATGCAGGTGGAGAGGATGAAATCACACTAGGATGGAGACAGGCTTTCCACCTTTTACACTACAGGCAAAAGTCCAGAAATGTTTTTCAGTCAGCCCAGGTCTAATATCAAAATTGTGCAGTACATTGCAATAAAGTTCAACACAGTAAGAGAGACCATATCCCATTACAAATCAATACCTGCCACCCAAACACAGATGCCAAATCCCAGACTGCCCAGGTCAAATTTGGGTTAAACCTGAGCAGGTGGCAAACCGAGATAGAACCTTTGTAGGGCCTCTATCTGCAGGTAAGCAGGTGCCTGTAAGAGACACTACGACAGCCAGGTCGCTGTCCTGTTTGTACAAAGTTGCGAGTGTTAGCCTCGCATCTGCATCACTGCTTTTCTCCAAGTGCTCTGATATCCTCCAATATTACAACAAAATATTCAAGTAAAGAAGCAATTGACTAAAAGTCACAAGCAGAACCCCATTGAGAAAGGGCATTGCAACTCTGGTTTTCCTTGGTAAAAAAATATGTTTGCTATGACTCAAAAAGCAACAGAGAACAAATAAATCGCACTGAAGAATAATACATATTTATACCATACTCACTTTAATAACAAGGGGAAAAAATCAACTGCATTTCAGCAAAATGTCACAAAAGGAGTGATGAATAAATTTCAAACCTGATTATAAAATGACAACCAAGCAAACAATACAGGGGACAACCAAAGTGGAAATGGATTGGTCAAATCGACTCATTTGTAAAGAAGATGGACTTAAACTACAAAAGACTGGCATCGACATAAATGAGCATTCGAATATTTTGGATAGATATCGTACAATGACAATGCTGATATTTGTGGATATAAACCCGGGGTGTGTAGACGCTTGTGGATGACACTTGAGAAACATGGCGCATTACCCTCTGCTCATCCATAATACAACGTGAGCTTTATTACATCATGGTGCTATTCAATTATGTTTATTTAAAATTGGTAATTACCATCACTTTAATAAAACATATAATTAACTTAAGTACGCAATAAAGTACAAAGATAACTTAAAATATTTGTTTCATAAGCATATGTAATATTCCCTCTTGAAATTCCCAGGTGGCAAGTATATTTTGCCACAAGGGCAAGTAATTACGTAAATAAACTATCTCTCCAAATAACAGATTTTCATATTGCCATGAATTTTTGGCCAATATTGCCAACAAAGTACATTTGAATGTCCCACACTGCACATGTTACCCGAGTCACAGCAAATTTTCAGTGGGTGGGCGAGTGCAGATGGTGAAAATGTATCTGTAAAAGCGAGAACTTACTGCCGATGTCCGGTCTCAGATTGTTATCGTAGCCTTCCAGAAGCGTGTTGAGAATTTGGGTGACGTCGCTTTCGTAGACTTTGGGGGCCAGGACCCATGTCTTGTTAGCGTTCATATCCTGGAAATCATCCTCTTCAATCTTGCCAGCGCTACAACCAATTACACAAAAGGCATAATATAGCAAACTGGGTGATGCAAGCTTTTAATATCACTAAAATCACTCCACACCATTAGAATGCCCTCCCCACACAAACCAACACAAAATCAAACCATATCCCACTTCCACATGTCATGATCTACACACGACATCCGCTATGCATCCGCTGTACTTTTAAAGATGTTCTGCTTAATGTTGCCTATTCACCAGAGCCAATGCATTATTAAATGACTCAAAGGATGCATGGTGCCGCCCATGTGAAAATGGTTCATGATTTGTTTCGTACTTCCGCACCCCATCCACATGCTCAATATCTGTCTCCCGCAATATTTTACACATGGCTTGCGGGGGACGTGTAATCAAACAACACACCGTTTATATATACACATATCGAGTGATAATTGACGTGATGTAAAACACGTAAAACAAAATGACACGGGACAATAAACAGCCACATTTGACCTAATGTTAGATGTAAAGTATCACGCAAAGGAAATTAAGTGATTAGGAGAGTCAATGACCCTGACTAAGACACCTACAGAGTGTCCAATAAAAGTAATCAAATCGTTTCTTTTTCGATATTTCAATTCCCTTTTATGGATGAACAGTGGTACTCTTGCCACCGGGTGCCAGCAGTGGTTGCCCTTAGCAAAGACTTGTCCCTGCCAGAGGAATGAGGAATTACCACCACTGGCTCGGGTTTGCCATTTGAGATTTGTGGTGTCCAATGTTTGAGAATGGGCAGAAGTTTACCGAGTTATATATATTTTTGCCACTTTGTAGCTGAAATGAATTCCAAGTGAAGGACGACATGAGACAGAATGGCAAGCTAAAGATGGGAGGGACCAAAGATGGATGACATGATGGCATCTCCAAAGAGCAGACAGGGCGACAAAATCAAAATGAGTAACCGGAGTTTACAGAATTATCGGCATTATTCAGAAAGAAAAAAACCGTAATGATATGCAGTATTCAGGTTCAAGTCTCCATATATATACTTGGAATTCTGGGAATTATGAGCTTTGAATTAGAAACAAGGCGAAACTGTGTTCCTATTAATTTCACGAAAAACAAAAACAATGAACCATACTTGCGTGGAAAACATTGCATTTTAATGCGAAATCCCATGTTCACGGTGGCACATGGAATCTCCAGAAAAATGAAATTAATCATACGCTGCCCAGACGTTCACCATCGTTGGTTCAAGTAATCCTGACTGCTGGTGAGACGCTCAATTTTGAAACCGGTCCACAGTTTTGCACGTGTTGAACCAAGGCTGCTGAAATTACGCACTCCCAAAAGACAGTGCAGCTGATGGGATGTGCAAAAATATTTACGGCTACTTTTTTTTACGCGGTAGGTCAGATACGAGGAGGAGAATTGTTTGCTTGTTCGCACTACAACACTGGGACTGTGCCACGAGCACGTCACTCTGCGCTGTAGTAGAATTGCCAGAGAATACCATGAGCTCTTCTGTACATTATACTTCAATGGTTATTGGAATATTGGCGACATCTTGGCGAGGACTTGGTCTGAAATGCCTTGTGATCACTCCCTTTTTTCATCATTATATATTTATTTTTTATCATTGCATGCCTAATCCCCCAAAAATGCTTTTCTCTTCCAGCCAATTACTGTGCCTCAATTTGGTGGGTTTTTTCTCTCCAATTTCTACCGTTAATATGGGTAGATTAAATTCCACCGAAATAAGACTTTCATTTATAAACGGACGTGCACAATGTACTGCTAGCCTGGCCCTTTTCTCATAATATGGCAGGCACCACATAATACATACCAGGAATCCCAAAGAATGTATGCGGCCATCACATACAGTGTTATGTAAAGGCTTAAAGCACATCTGTACCACAGCAAAACTGTTGATGAACAATTTTTCTCCCCCATTAAATAAATAGGCACACCAATGAAAGCCCTGTTTTTTTTTCATTCAAATCTCACAATGGAATGTCCACTTGAGTGATCCAATTCAAATCTAATCACGGTCATCGCAGCACAATAATGCACGATTCCTTACGAGCGCCAGGCTACATGTGAAGCTCTTCTCTATAAATTGTTTATAAAATACAATACCGAGTCACATCTACGAAAGACAATGCACATATGCCAAAAAACATATACACTTTTGTTTCTTTCAACGTTTTTTTTTTACATAGAATTATATTCACAGTCCTTCGTTAATCAACTGCAGGATGAAAGCCTCGCAGCATCGCGTGCCAGTTGCCCATACTTCACAGCACGCTGTCCAGTGCGGGGTTGTTGGGCACCACCAGTTCTGATATTGCTCACCACTGATATTAGCCACGGCCCAAAATCGAGCTAAGGCCACCGAGTTCAAATCGCAGTGTGATAACCACCGCAACCCCCCCTACAACCCGTTAGATTACACGACGCTGAAATTCCCAGATTGTTCCTGCAGAGTTGGTGACAATGATAACGCCGTTGAATGTCAATTCATGTCAATGTGGTAAAACAATGATCAGATTTCCCTCCATACACGCGTCCTGTGAGCAGTGCCCCAGCGTGCACACACACAACATGACCACTGCAAACGCTGCCATTCATGTGTACCATGTGTACCGTATATCACACACACGCGCACACACACACACTCATGCATGCACCACGGATACGACTGCCGCCATTCCCACGCAGTGTATTACAGCATCTCCCGATTTCAATTCAGAATAATGACGATGAGCCATCGTGATGGCAGCACTAATGATGAGCGTCAGGGTTATGGATGTAGACTGGCGATGGATGACTCGCTCCTGTGAGAGAAAGAGGAAAGAGGGGGGGGGGGGGGATCGTGAATGTGAATGGAATACGGCGGCATGGCATCCTCACCAGGCGTGCAGAGACAGCAGCATGAGAGCCAAGAGAAGAACGCGCCTCGACAGCCGGGGAGGAACCGCAGCCATTCGCGACGCCACGGTGGGGGAAACCCCGGCGACATCCACCACCTCCTCCCTCTTCTCCTCCTCCTGTAGCATCGTCGTCGTCTTCTCCCTCTCCTTTATTATTCTCTTCCCCTCCTCTTTGTCCTGCCGGGCTGGCGGGGCCGGGAGAATGGGCTGCCACTCCGTGTAGTCGGTGCGGCCCCAGAATATAAATGCAGGACACTGCTGCTGTTGAGGAGGATGATGATGTTGTTGAAGAAGCTGCTGCTGCTGATGATGATGATGATTCTGCTGCTCCTCTCGAACAGGTCTCCGTCGATCCTGCTTCCAAATCTGCTGCAAGTCTTGGCGATTGTATTGATGGTATTTTTCATGATGGTGATATTGGTGGTGATGGTGGTGGTCGTGATTGTGGTGGTGGTGGCCGTGATGGTCGTGAAGCTGCTGCTGGTGCTGCTGCTGTTGCTGATTGTGACGACGGCGGCGCTGGATCTTGGTCCATCCCGGAGGCTCCCGCATGCCGACAGACCCGGGCCGCCACCCCGACACCAGCCGAAGCGCCATCATCACTGTCATCACAGCCCGGCCATCACAGGCAGAGACAGCCGGCTCCAAGCCACATGCACACCCAGCAGCAGCAACAACAGCTACCAATTGTACCCAGAGATTATTTAATTATTACTCCTACTATGATTCTAGAGCCCTGCTATATATTTAATGATTGCTGACGTTTAATATAACGATACACCCTGTATCGCTCTATTCATGCAATGTTGTTACATGCGTACAATTTGGTGATTATTCTTATTTGTTTAAATGTTTTACGATTGCCACTCCTTTTGCGAAATTATTTAATGTTCAATTATTAATCACGGGTTTTCATCTACGCCACCGGGAGTAGGCTTTATTCATATTTGAGATATATATTATTATTTAACACATACCATTAAAGCCTGTAGCCTCCTCCATCAATTCGACCGAATTGTGCATTCTAAGACAACCTAAACTGTTGTTGTGTCATTTAATTACAATTGCATTATTCCAACCATTGCCCCCCCCCCCTTTTTTTGCCTATCTTCTGAACAAACTACCTTCTATTGTTGTATCCTGTGGACTGACGGTTTTATCTGCGCCGCCGATACCCGGTGGGAATGGGGGGGTAGGGGTGGGGTGCTGAGAGGATGGAGCGGGGTGACAGGGCTTGCGATGAGGAGGAGGGAGGGGTTGATGGGCTGATTTTTAGGATAAAAAGAAAGGAAAATAACACCGATAATAACGAATAGAAATACAGCAAGCGCAGGGAAAGGAGAGAGATGGAGCGAGAGCAAGCGCGGCTAACCTAAAAATTCTGCAATAAGTGCTGGCGCGCCTACCGGCATACAAATTATCCACGCGAACCCTTTATTTGTTTAATTCCTCGCCAAAATCGCAACTCGCATTGACGCGACGATCGAATGGTATATATAACCAAACGGAACAAAATTGTCAAGGCGCGTTCCCTGAAGGAAGAAAAACTAAAATGGAGAAAGAATAAAAAAAATTGGCGTAATTGGAAAAACAATTTGAGAAAAAAAAATAAACGGTTAAAAAGAGGGGAGAGGTAAAGAGCGATAAGAAGAGACGACGACGACTCCCGCTGCTTGGTGTTTTTTGGCTCGCGTCGCGCGGTGGACGGAGACGGCGGCCGCATCGGCTCTCTGTGCGCTCCGGGAGGAGGAGGAGCGGGAGGAGGAGGAGAGGTGGTGGTGGAGGAGGAGGAGCGGGAACGTGGAGGAGGAGACCCCACGCGGCGCGGCCGGCATCTGCTCGTGACATCACGCGTGCTGACGTCACGTCGGTCACCATCAGCACCATCAGCACCATCACCACTACCACCACTAAAACCAGTAGCATCAGCACCATCACCACTACCACCACACTACCATCACTCAAACCAGTATCATCAGCACCATCACCACTACCACCACACTCCCACCACTCAAACCAGTATCAGCACCATCACCACTACCACCACAGTACCACCATTCAAACCAGTATCATCAGCATCATAACCATGACCACCACAGCACAACTAAAAACCAGTATCAGCACTATCACCACTACCACCACACTACCACCTCAAATCAAACCAGTATCATGAGCACCATCACCACTGCCAACCACACTACCACCACCACCACTAAAGCCAGTATCATCAGCACCATCACCATTTCCACCACACTACCACCACCACTAAAAAACAGTATCATCAGCACCATCGCCACTACCAAGCACCACCACTCAAACCAGTATTATTATCTGCAGCAGCATATGTAGCAGCTTCAACAGCACCCTTTTCGCAGGGTTCGTAAATAAAATAGGTGCAGTCCCCACAGCGGTGGGGTTGCATATGTATTGTATTGCCTGCGTCACAGATCTCGTCCCTCCACACGAAATATAAGGACTGTTCCACTTTGTGTTTGTCCTATGGATACACACACACACCCCGCCATGACAATGTGCAATTCCCACTAGGGATGAACGATTTGGGGAAAATATCTAATTGCGATTTTTATGACAGATATTGCGATTTGATTTGCGATAAACATTTTTAAGTCAAGCTTCAGTTTAATATTCACTGTGTAATAGATTTAAAACATGTGATGGAGCATGACCACATGATACCATCAAAATATGAACTGCTCTAAAAATTATAATGCAAGTGTAGTGAGTCCAACTGAGTCGCATATGTTGTCTTAGAAGCAAACACTATTTATTGCACCAACTCAACACACAACATAACGTAACCTACACTTGGGTGTTGAACGCCCATCTAACCACGCTACAGCAGAATAGGACACGGTTCGCTATCCCGGTCTGGACCACGAGCTGGGTCCCGGACCGTGTGACCAGAGGCTTCTTTAACCCGACGTGGATCTTCTTCACCAACAACCCGAAGAACCCCGAGCCCTTCACGGGGCACTCGTTATATTGGCCTGAGCTGGGGCTGGCTCTGCCCCTCGTAATGGCCACCATTTAGATCTCTTGAGCTCTTTCCGGAAGGCTCCCGAGAGCTCCTTTATACCACCTGACCGCCCAGCGGCCCACGTCCACCGGTGGCCCCCCTCCAATATCATCCGGTCACGTGTCGGCAGGTCAACCAGCGTATTATGCCCCAACGTAACCCTGGCTTGCTGACACTCCCTCTCGCTCCCTCACTAGAAGCCCGCACAGCACACTGTACGTGGTGCCTCCGCACTGACCAGCATTCACCCAAACCCCACACGGGCTGGTACTACGCCCAGTAACCGGCACCACACAATGACATTCACAGTCACTACATCACTGCCCCCCCCGCCCCCCCGTAGCTTCCAGCCGTCCCAGCTGCCAACTCCCCCGCAAGTAAGCAACCAACGTAAACATATACAGAACAACAACAAGTGTGCTCCAACAACAACAGAACAGCGCAATACATTACCCAACCCCAAATGTACAATATATACAGTGAGGGAAAAACGTATTTGATCCCCTGATGATTTTGTACGTTTGCCCACTGACAAAGAAATGATCAGTCTATAATTATAATGGTAGGTTTATTTGAACAATGAAAGACAGAATAAAAACAAAAAAATCCTGAAAAACGCATGTCAAAAATGTTATAAATTGATTTGCATTTTAATTAGGGAAATAAGAATTTGACCCCTTCTCAATCAGAAAGATTTCTGGCTCCCAGGTGTCTTTTATACAGGTGTAGAGGTGTTACGTGCCGGGGTGTAGCAAGCCATTATGTTGTGGTGTCTACATCACGGTCCGTGCGTGGGGTGTCTACATCAACGTCTGCATACAGCCCCGCCCCTCGGGGGGAAGTTGGGTATATAGCGCGGTGCGCGAGAGAGCTCGAGGCAGTCGTTGGAGCAGAAGAGCCAGTGAAGAAGGAAGACGGAGCAAGCTAGGTAGGACCCTGGGACCCCTAGCCCCGCTGCCCTTGTCAGGGCCGGGACTCTGTGTGGCTCAGTGGTGAGACCCTGGGAACCCCCGGCCCGACGTCCTTATCAGGGCCGGGTCCGAGCAGGCCAGTGGTTGGGACTCGTACCCTGGCTAGGTCGGGTCAGATAGCCTCCCCTAGGAAATACATAGCCGGAAGACCTGAGAGCGTAGCCGGTGTCAGGCACGCTAGCCGTAGGCTGTGTTCCTAGGCTGTATAGCTGACTGTTACTGTTGTGTGTTATGAATAAATTCGTGTTGCCTCCGTCAACCGTCTCCTGCACTACTTATGCTGTTACAACTGGAGTCAGAAGTGGTCCTGTCTTCACGAGATGGATACCAGGAAGACAGTTCGTACCCACGGGCCGGGCCAGGGTGACGACCAGGAGGAGACGAGTCAGCAGGCCTCGGACGGGGAATCTGAGGTGGTGCTGACGCTGCAGCACCCATCGCGGCCACCTGACACACCGCTGCAGCTGGGGTGTGGGCTCCACGATGCTCACTCCCGCCTGGCTGAGTTGCTGCTCGCCGCTGCCTCCATACTGGCGGAGATTACTGCATCTGGAGGAGGGGTGGCTGGTGCCCGCGGAGAAAATTGGCGCCAAGCGCCGGCTCGCGCCAGCACCGCGCCGCAACACGAAGATTGGCGCCAAAATCAGGCTCCCGTCACGGACACTGAATTTGGCGCCATTTTACCGACCAGTTCGTTGACTGGCGGAGACCGGGAGCACCACGTGAGGGAGGGGTTCCAATCACCGCCTCCCATGTCATTGATATGCGACAGACGTCACAACGACCAACCCGTGGAAGGGGCCGCCATTTCCCGCTGCGCGGGAACATCAGCAGCCGGGAGCAGGGCAGGCATTCCAGCAGCGACTGCCCGTGTTGACGGCCTTTCAAGCAGAGGGAGGCGACTGGGGAGCCTTTCAACGGAGGTTCCTCGCTCACCAAGAGATGTCGGGGTGGACAGATGCCGAGGCACTGCGCGCGCTACCAGCGACTCTGGATGATGACGCTCTGGCCAACTTCAGGTCTGGCCGCTCCACACTCCATGCTGCGCTTCACCTGATGGCCAGGGTCTACGGACCGCCGTCTGCCTGTCGCCACCACTTCTACGCTCGCCGTAAGGGGGAGACGGAAACTCCTCTCGCCTACCGCACTGCACTTCTGGCTCTCGCTGACGCCGCTTTTCCTCGCATGGACGAAGAAGGCAAAGACGCAATGGTCACGGAGCAGCTTTTGGGATTGGCGCAGGACTTGGGTGTTCCTATCAACACGGCAGATGAGGTTGATATATGCTCGTTGCGAGTTGCTACGAGCATTCACGCGCACGTAGTTCTTAAACGGAAACGGCCTGTCGTCTGCGCCTCAGCTTCTGCCTCAGCCTCGGCGCCCAGCGAACCCCAAGGCGCTCTATCACAGGAGGAGGTCTTCGCCACGGCACGGTCGGGGGACTGGAGGTCGGGAGGTCGGTCGCCCCTGCAAACGCCACGCAAGCTGGAGCAACCGAAATCAGCAACGGCTCTCGTCACATGTTACAACTGCGGCCTTCGAGGCCACATTGCTTCTGGGTGCCGGGCTCCACGTCAGCGCGCTACAGGACCTCGGCTGGACGACGCCCAAGGTCCCAAGTCGTCCCAACAGTCCCCGGCAAGTCACGGCACCACACATGCTCAGCCCACTCACACGTTGCACACGAGTCTCCGCGCTACGCCTGATGGGCCATGGCATTCGGGTGCCGGTTCAGTGCGGGGAGGGGGGTTCGTACGGGAGCTCGGACCAGACCAATGGTCTGAGCTGGCCCATAGGGTGGTGGCTGTGTCGGCTGGTTCATCCGTGGTTACTGGGTCGATCGAGGGTGTTGAGGTTCGGGTTTTGGTCGACACGGGGGCATCGGCAACGATCATTTCCGACCTTATTTACAATATTCTTCCCGTTCAATTTCGGCCCTTACTCCGAGTAGACGTTCCATGTTATTCGGCGAATTGAGGATCCTTGGGTATTGTGGGTCAGATCCGGGCGGGTATTTGCATTGGGGATATTAAATTGTCGGGACCTGTCTTGGTCTCATCGTCTCTTGCGGTCCCATGTTTATTGGGAACGTATTTTCTAGCTAAAATGCCGATCAAGATTCTCATTGATCAGGATTGCATCGAGCTCCCCTCGGGCCGCCGCATAGCATTTTTGTCCTCCCCTAGAAATCTACGCATGGCCTGTGCGACGGTGCAGGCGATGGTAACCCAGACGGTACGCGTACCACCGGAGTCACAGATGTTAGTGCCCCTACGCTTGCGGAAATCTCTTGGTGTGGGTACGACGAAGCATGGTGTACTGTTAGGCCCATCTAACGCAGCTGTCAGGGGATTGGATTTGGCGGTGGCTCAGACGATGGTGCGGGGGGACAGAGACCCCTTCGTTGTGGTTTTAAATGCGGGGTTACGAGCAGCTGTGATTCCACAGGGTACCGTGCTCGCTCATGCAGCACCGGCACCCGTGGGAGAGCCACTGATAGCGCATGTTGATACTGCTCTGGCTCCGCATCTGAAATCGGGGGGTGATCAAGGGTGGTTGGATTCACTGTGTTCTGGATCCAGTGACCTGTCTAGTTCACAGCTGGCGGCATTACGCGCCCTGTTGGTCGAATTTTCGGACGTTTTCAGCAAACACAAATATGATATTGGCTGCACTGACCTATTACGTCACCACATTGACACGGGTGACGCTGCCCCCATTCGGCAAAATCCCTTCCGGCTGAGCCCAGCCGAGAAGGAACATGTGAAATCAGCTGTTAA